TCACAACCAAAGAGCTCTCCAAAAGACCAGGTTCCAAGAGCCCAGGAAGCTACAAACTTAAGTCATTCATCACCCCCCAAAAGGATACTTCCTGGAAACATAAATGGATTCAAAAACGATTTGGGCAAATCTGTGAATGACAGAGCATCCATAAATAGCTACTAAGAGAAGCTTATATACACCTGACCTTTAGAATTGACGTCAAGGAAGATGGCTGCAAGCTCCATCGGTGGTATCTTAGGGATGGTGTTGGCAACCAAAGATTAGGTCAGATGGATCTGACCCAGAATAGCACTGTCCATGTTCTTATATGGTCTGCAGTAGAGTGTCCAGGACTGTGAACTAGGAGGCAAGCAGAGTGCCCAGCTCTCTCCATTTATAGTTGTGTGACCATGGGCAAGTCAATTGCTTGCTCCAAATCTCATTTTCCCTATCTATAAATTCGAGCCCAAAACGGTCCATCATCCCTTATCCAAAACCCTTATCCATCCCTTATCCAAAACCAGATTTGTTCAGATTTTAGAAAGGCATTCTGGTGCCTCTGTGTTTAACAGCTCCAGGAGAGTCTAGGGCAGCACACTGTAATCAAACACATTAATATTTTTGCAGCAAAACATATGAATATTCAAAATAAGCAGGATAAATATAGCCTCACATCAGTTCTGATCAGGTTTTGCTACTAAATGAGTTTGCTGCAAACTTACACAAAACCTTTTAGCTTTCACAGCTTTTCAGACTTCATAATCACAGAACTGAGATTAAGGCCCTATACCCCCCTTAGGGCAGGCTGTGAGGTTAGGAGAGAGAAAGTCATTAAAGGTGCTTTGCAAAGAACAAAGTGCTACCACGACAAGGGCATTATTAATATTGTTGCTGATGCTATCATTATTTCACAGCATTGCTTGCTCCAAACAGAATTTGGGATGACATCAGAGGTTCCTGGCAGAACCATGAAAGGGAACCAAAAGTTGGGCTCAGTGATGCACACCAGTAATCCCAGCAACTCTGGAGGATGAGGCAGGTGGATTGCATGTTCGAGGCCAGCCTCAGCAACTTAGCTAGACTCTAAGCAACTTTGTGAAACATAATCTCGAAATTTAAAAATAAAAAGGAAGGGCATGTAGCTCAGTGGTAAAATGCCCGTGGGTTCAATCCCCAGTACAAAAAAAGGGGGGTGTGGGCTGGGGTCGAAGCTCAGTAGTGGAGTGCTTGCCTAGCATGTGTGAAGCACAGGGTTCCATTCTCAGCACCACATAGAAATAAAAAAAAATCAAAATGGTACAACCTTTAAAGGGTGGGGGCAAGAGTTCTGAGTTACTGCTAACCTCCCAAATGTGGCCTAAACCAAGGTCAATGATGGTTGGCCCTATACATGAGTCCACCACTGAAAACATAGTACCTGGCCATCTGAAAGAGACTAAGGCTGGGGGCCAGGCAGAACTCCTGACATCTCAGGCACATGACTCGAGCACCCTTGGTCAGCCCCAAGAACCCTGTGAGAAGGGCTGACACATGGTCCAGGGAGCTGGCTGAGCCCATTTCTGTGGTTCCTGAGCATTCCCACAAGAATTAGACAAGGGTTCCTGCTCCGCCTGTGCAGGATGCACCCTGTTGCTCATCTGAGGGCTTGTCTCTGTAAGAGCCAGAGGCTCCCGTAAAGATCCAGACCCCATTGATTCTGAAGCATTAGATCTAGAAACCCATTAAATCCATGGTGTATGCTATGAGCCTAGGGCAACTGAGGGCCACAAATGAGGACTGTATTCTCACTTAAGTCAACTGTGCTGTTCCCTGTGATCTTAGCCCTCATGTGCATAATGCTAAGAACAAGACTGCACCTGGGCCCAGTTGTGCTGGGCCCTAGACCATAGCCATACGAGCCCACATGCAGAACTGCTCCATTCTCACTTTCAAAGTGAGAACAAGAAAAGAAACCGAGCCTAAAGGGGGAAAGTCCTGTCTTGCAGAAAACTGATATGGCCCTTCCTCCTGCAGGCACTATCCGTTGTAATGTGGGCCCACAGGAGTAGATTCAGGGGTCCAGAGAATCTCCTTCACCTGTCTGGAGAATGGTGTAGATCCAGCAGATCTTCTGTCTGGCTTCCTTCTAGTTCCGTTAAGTTAGTAAGCCCCAAGTGGTCCTCGGTTCTTCCCATCCATCTGTGACTACACTGGACACTGCTTTTACATCTTGCCATCAACCTCAGGCTCCATGATACATAACTTTGCTAAGTTTCATTCCATCCATCTGTCCAGTCAATAGGTCCCCTCTCACTCCACACCAGCTTGGGGTCAAGCAAGGGAAAACCTATGGATGGGATTCCATAACCAATCCCACTTCCTGCCTAATTCCCAGCACTCTGCCCTTTCTCCCTCTGCAAAGTAAGCATAACTGCTGGGTACCAACACTACTGGCTTAAAATAAAATAAACCCTGGAGCCTGTCATCTTTGTTATATTTCCAGCCAATTCCACAGTTTCGTTGGCATCAAAATCACCCACTGATTTTTTTTCTTGCCTTTTTGTTTGTACTGTAGCGTTGATGACTTTTTTTTTCCCATTAGAACATTTTTCATCCTGTTGATAGGTTGTGGGGAGTGGCTAAGGCAGAGAAGAGTAGGAAACAAGGAAGTAGCACATTAATCCTGGCACTCTGCAGGTGAGGGAGAGAAAACAGCCTCCCACAAAGTGTATCGATTGGGGACTTTGACTTCAAAGTCAAGTCTCCCCACCTGCATTTCTTCAGACCCCCCGACCTTTCCATCCGGTGCTGCCCCAGGTCCAGCTTCTCAGGCTGCAGGGGCTGATTTTCCATCCTCAGTCAAAAGCACCTTCTTCCTGTCAGCAGCTCTCAGCATGATGCCCAGGATTCCAGGATGGTGCCTCACCATAGCAAGTTCATGAGGAGAGGGACAGCTCTGTGCCACCACACAGGTGACACAGCCCAGTACAAGGCGGCGCTGCAGATACTACACACTAGAACTGAGCCCATGAGGATGGTGCAGAGGCAAGGCCAAAATAAGATGGGGGCCAGGTGTGGTGGTACACACCTGTACTCCCAGTGGCTCAGGAAGCTGAGGCAGAAGGATTGTGAGTTCAAAGCCAGCCTCAGCAAAAACAAGGTGCTAAGCAACTCAGTGAGACTCTGTCACTAAATAAAATACAAAAAAATAAGGCCGGGGATGTGGCTCAGTGGTTGAGTACCCTTGAGTTCAATCCCCAGTACCCAAAAATAAATAAATCAGATGGGAGACAGAGGGTCAGTTCTTCACCTTCATAGCAACTGCATGTCAGTTACAACTCTAGTGATTTCTAGGTTTTACTTCATTAATTCAGCACCAACTCTGAGGACCATCTGCATTTTAAAAAGTGAGTAAAGCAAAGTTTAGAAAATTTAAATAACTCTCACCACTAGACACAGAGGATTACACCACCCAGGCTCTTTGGAAGATAACATGGCGGAGGGTCCCTCTGAAGGGGAACCTGCAACTCGCACAGAGAGTGAGTGATGTCCTCTATGGCCCTCTTGGGTAGAAAAAAACAACCTGGACTTGATGAGAACCAGGAAAAAGTTACTTTCCACCATGCCCCATTTCTCATAGCACATAGCTGAAATAATTCACATCCGGAGATGATAGACCTATCTGGTCAAGTTTGGGGAGGGGGTTTCCTCTTTAGGAAAGTTTGAGCAAAAACAAATATGACCTCAGTCTATTTCTGAGAGGCATAAGCATCAAGAAGACAGACACACATTCGTGGCAGTTATTTTTCGCACCCACCGGAAAAATATCGGCTACTTTTAGCTCAGTGACAACTTTCCACAAGGTAAGTCTCAGAGCTGCCAATCAGGCATCATGGGAGCGTGCTGCGGCTAGGGTGATTAGATCGCTTCCAGATGCCTCCGTCCACCCCCTCACATCCCCCACACCTAAACCAGCACACATTTATGGGGGTGAGGGAGAGTGGGGGCCAAAGCAGAAAGCCCACCCAAGATCACCCAACAGCAGGCCAAAGGGAAACGTTTTCACTGACAGCTGGATGTGTGGACACCATTCATCAGGCTCAGAGACAAGAAGGCAAAATGACAGGCCTACATTTTATGACAGAAACAGGAAAAAAACCAAACCTGCTACTTATTCCCTCTGTCATTTACTCCACTTCTGAAGAGCAATTGTCAGGACCCTCCGTTCTGTAGCCTTGGTCCTCTTCCAGCCCAGACGACTCCAAAAGGCAGCAAAGTAGGAGGAGATTAAAACCTGAATTTGAATCCAGCTCTGCCTCTTACTAACTATGTGACCCTGGAAAAGGGACTTTTTTCCTGAGTCTTAGCAACTTCCTATGTAAAAAAAAAAAAAATTACCTACCTCAAGGGGCTATTGTAACAAAAATGAAATTTCAGGTAAAGGAGGTGACACTGAACAAGCATGTCATGAACTCGAAGAAAGGTTATTTCACAGAGAAGCAAAGGGCAGCCAGAGGAAGCCCATAATAGATCAGAGTAGCATTTAGTTCAATGAGAGCAAGGGTGAGACCACAGGCTGCAAGACCAAGACTCTTATTCCCATCCTTTCCCCCTGAATGTGTTCACAAGAACAGAGAATGAGCAAGGGATGGGAGTATCGAGGGGACTGTTTACCAGGAAGGCCATTTAGAACCCGAGACTGTTCCTATTGCCAGATTTGGGTCATGAGAGACCCTCAGAAACCCACTTCTTCCTCTCTTTCCTTCCACTTTATCAGTTACTCGAGGGAAATAAGTATAGGCCAAGCGGCAGAAAGATGAAACAGGAACCCCAAAGCAAAAAGAGGGAAGAGTCTGGAAAAAAAACCATTTTCCCTCACCACCATCTGAAATATCCGCCCCCCAGGACACAGAAGGAGGTATTCTTTGGCAAGGAAGAGAGGGGAACCAGTCCCCTGGGCTTGGGAACAGCCAGGATATGGAGGGAGGGTGTCAGGGCCGGAAGTCCAGCTGCAGGTGCAGGACAGGGGCAGGGCCTACCTGTGCTGCTCCACAGCTTCGTTGTCAGGAAGCTCTACCCCACACACGCTGCACTGCTCCCCGAGGGGCCGGCTCTCTGACTTCATGCCCACAGCCAGCTCACCCAGCTTGCTGAACAGCTCCCTCTGGATGAAGCCCTGGGGCAGCAGGCCCCCATAGGTGCTGAAGTCCATGGAGACGGCCAGGGCAGGCTGCACGTGGAGGCCAGAGGTCACCGAAGACGGCATGCTCAACACGGCATCAGCCTTGTGGTTGGGCAACACAGAATAGATGCCCAGGTGTTTCTCTGCAGCGGGTGCTGGGGGTTCCTGTCGTCCAGGGGGGACCTGACCAGCCTCAGCGGGAGGTGGCAGCTGCTCAGCACTCTCCTCTCGCCCATAGTGCAGTTCCCTAGCACTGGTAATGACGCTGCTTCTAGTGGGTGTCCCGGGCCCCTCTTTGCCTCTTTCCTCAACTTTGTCCCCAATCCCTCCTGAGATGCTGGACTCAGCTGCCCCAGGGCTTTCCTGGCCAGGTACCTCATCCACCTGCATCATCTCTGTCTTTACTTCAGCCACCCCAGGGTGCCGCCCGCCCCCAGCCAGCATCGATTCCTCAGGCCCTGCAGGTTGCTGAAGAGTCCCCTGCAGGAGAGACTGTCCTATGGTCATCAAACTATCCACTGCAGCTTTGGTGGGACTCATAGCTGAAAGACCAAATGAGGTGGAGACCGAAGGGCTCTGGTCCACCATGGGCCCAGGGAGGCTCTGTCCAGCCACACTGGCATACCCACTCTCCTCGCTGGAATGCTTCGAGATGAAGATGTTCTTGAGGTACCGAGCCTTGCGGTCCTCTTCTTCCTCGGCCCCGCCGTCAGCCATGGTGGCCTCTGTGTCATTGTCATCTGAGGCCTGGATGGTCTCCAGGATCTTCAGGCACTGCTCCTCCAGGTATTCGATCTCCAGGATCTCAGCTGCATACAACAGATCATCCAGGTCCTCTGCCTTGGCCTGCAGCGTGGCCGTGTACGCATACTCCAGAATCTGCTGGAAGGTCTTTGGGGAGAGGAAATCCAGAGTATAGTGCTGGCTGTTGCGGTGGAAGAGGATCTCAAACATCTTGCTGGTGCAAGCCAGCACTGTCCGGTGGGCATGGAACTCCTGGCTGTCCACCATGATGACCACATCGCACAAAGTCCCAGCCAGTCGCATCTGGTTGGCCTTGCATAGCAGCCCCGTGGGGTGGCTGGGGTTCTGCAGCTGGATCATGCCCATCTTTGTCAGATCCATGGTGCTCCCCTCGGTTCAGGCATGAGGCTCTCTTTCCTTCTGTGTTCTGCGTGGTGGGGCAGGATGGGCTTCCTGGGCCAATGGACAGGGCTGGAGAACAAGAGAAGAGACAAAAGAGATGAGAGAATCAACAGCTGATTTGTAAGTGTCCCTAAGAGTAAGAACTCAAACACTACAATGTGCCCCCATCCTGCCAAGCTCCCAGCAAATCTTAGAGATTTAATGGAAGGAGCTTCCTAGAAATCTACAAATCTGCCTTGAAATCTCAGAGATGATGAGAGTAAAGAGAAGGTTCTGCCACAGCATATGCCTACTTTGCTGCTCCATGACATCATTAGGTGAAATAAAATGAAAATGATAGTAAGTCCTGAGCATTCTTCAAGTCTAAGAGTAGGAATTTCCCATGCAAAGCCAACATTCATAAGGAGATGCCCAAGCAAGCACCTGTTTAAAATTAACAAAAGACTTTAATCCCTTCCTTTAGTCAACTTAAAAACTCAACTTCACTCTCAACCCCCTGTACAGCAAAGTTCACCATCAAAACAAAGTTTTTCAAAGTTCATCTCACTGAAAATTCAAATCCAGGTGGGGCCAGCAGACTGCAATTGTGGCCCACAGAAATCTATGGGCAATGAGCTCTCCTCCCCAGGCCTATTCTCTCTCCCTCAGTCAGGGCCTTCCTAAGCCCCTGTCTTTCCACTCTAATCAGCGGGGGCAAAGACTAACATGCCCTGACCCCTTCATTAGGAAGTAACAGGAGCATATATATGTTAACTAGGGTCATATATATATATATATGTTATATTTATGTTACCATATATATAGTGTATATATATATTTAACATATGTATGTTAAATAGGGTCACTCCTATCCACAGATGCCTCAAAGCCATCATATATGTGTTCCAAAATCTGGCATATGTGTCTGTAGCAGCCAGAGGGAGAGTGTTAATACACCTGCACACAGTTACATGAGATGCTGTACTTACTCTCCTGCCCCCAAGTGCCTGCTGGACAGAAAGATCTAAAATGTGAAGGAGGCGGGGTGATGAAGGCAATGTGAGATGGTAGGAAATATGCTCCCCTACAGTCAGGAATGCTAATGCTGAGCTGCGAATGAACTCCAGTGTGTCCCACAGACTCCCAGGAAGCGGCAAGTGCCGTGACCAGAAGCAACAATTGATGCTGGATATGGTTCAGGGGGCACTGGAAGTGATACTGGCCAACAACATCTAGGTGCAAGTTACAACCAGTATTGGGAAGACGAGGCTGGGAAACAAAGATCTCTCCCAGAGCCTATCCTGGATCATAAAAAGGGCTCCAGAACTCTGAACCCCCTCTAGGGTGTGAAAAGCCACCCAGGCCAGGTCTCTCCTAGCATCTGCCTAGCTAAGGACAATATCGAAGTCACTGGCCTGGAAGCGGGGTGGACAGACCAAGTACTCTTCACACTGCTTGCCTTCACACTAGAAAGAAGACCCATGAGTTCTTGAGCCGCAAAGTTCAACCAGAAAGGGTTAACCAGACGGCTGGTACAGACCCTTGCTGCCCACCCCAGGGTTGGGACCCAGGCCGTCAAGGGTGGGACCACCATTCATCCATGCCTTGCCACTCTGCCTTCTAGCAGACATCAGAGAACTAGGGAGAAGCCAAAGGAATAGAGGGTTGGCTACCTGAATTCCTTCTTCAAAACGAACCTTTGAGGTCTGGAGGGAAATCAGGGTGCTACGGCAGCCGTCTCCCCAACGCGCCGCTGGGCGCCTGCGATCCGGCCAGCGCTGGGTGCAGCGTTCAGCCGGGCAGTGCGGGGGAGTAGGGGGGAGCCGGTGCTAACCCACTGGGGCTCTCAGGATCGATCACACTCTCACACACCTCTAGTTCCCAGCGACCCCAATCGAGACTTTCAGACGACTTCGGCAAACTTGGGGAAGCAACTTTTCCCCAGAACTCAGATGCCTGAAAGGGAACCGAACTAAGGCCGAAGGAAATCGAAAGAAACTGGGCAAAAAGCGAGAGTCCAGGCGGGCTGGACGCTGCTGAGAGGGCGACGAGGCGGAGGACGCGGCCCCGCGGCAAGGGGCAGCACAAAAGCCCTGAAGCGAGTTGGGGGGGGGGGAGTGAGAAGAGCCGCGGGCCCTCGCTCTCCCATCCAGGACCATGACCCCCGGGAAGCGAACAGCAGGGTCCCCGGCCTCTGGCGGCCGCGTCAGCTGCCGGCGCGCGAGGCCGAGGAGCTGAGTACAGGGGAGCAGGCGAGCAAGTCGGTGCGGAGCGCATCTGTGCGTTTCAGTGAGTCCGCAGCCCGGCAGGATGGTGCGCATTTCAAACGCGTGCGGGAGTGTGCAAGGGGCTATGCGAGCGAGCCTCAGGCGCGCCAGGGTGGGAAAGGCATCCCGGAACGCATCAGGTGCAGAGCCCCGGCACCCACACTGCGCTGCCGGGAGCGCACGGCGAGCTCCGGCGCTACGGCTAGTCCCTCCGAGAGCCGAGGAGGGCCCGCAGCGCTGGAGAGTCTATGGAGCTTTCCCCCCACACCCCCCGCAAAAGGAGATCAAGTCCAATTAAGAAAAAAGAGCCCACCACGTTTTTGTTTTTTTTCCAAAGAGAAAGAAAACCCAGACGAGTCCCGGTCCTGCTCCCCTCCGCCTCCAAATCAGCTTCTCTGATTCTAGCTTCCCAGCCGGCCAGCGAATAAACACACAAATAAATAAACCACAATCCTATCTCACGCCCGTGCACCGGTCCGCATACATATGAGCACCCACCAGCTCTCGGTTCCTCCGCCGGCCCTTGGCTGTACAAAGCCTTCCTATCCCCGACTCTGCGCTCACACCCTCAGCTCCAGCAGACCACTCTACCCCCCACCTCTCACCCGAACTGTGCCCTGGAGAGGAAGGGTTGGGGAGGCAGCTGCTCTCAAGCTGACAGCCGGGGCTCCCCCTTCTAGCTGACCCCAACAGGCGGCGGCGACGGCTGCAGCAGCAGGAAGGAAACACTCACAAGCCCAGCAGCCGAGTGGCCGAAGCGAGCGCGCCCCCCCAGACCTCTCTAGCCCCAGGGCGTCCGGACGCGAGGTGCTCGCTGGGCGGTGCGCCCCTCCCCGGCCCCCCACTCACCGTTGCGGAGCCGGGTGCTGTGGGATGGGTGTGCGAGCCTGCTGGGGGGTGTGTGCTTATGTCGGGGAGGGGTGTTGCTGGAGAACTGTTGCTTTCGGTATCACGGCGGCAGTGGCGGCGTCGCCCGGCAGTTCGCAGTACCCGCTCTCATCGCCCTCAACTCCTCTCTGCCGCGAGGTTAGCAAATCACCACCGGCTGCGGCGCCTCCGCCGCGTCCCACGTCAACGCTGAGCCCCCTCCTCTGCGAGGCCCCGGCGCCTCTCCATCTTTAGTGCTGGCGGCCGAGCCCGGCTCCCTGCCCACAGCTGCCCCCCCTCCCCCCCCCCCCCCGCGCTGTCCCCGGGCTCAGCCCGCCCACCCCACCCCACCCCCGTACTGGCCGAGCCCGTGCGCGCTCCCCGCCCCACCCCTCCTTTCCCCTCCCTTCCCCGCGCTCAGCGCTCCGGGCTTCGCCTGACATCTAGCTGCTGCTGGGGCGCCAGCGGCCGCTCACCCGCCAAGCTGAGAGGACCGAGACGCTAGTGGAGAGGAGTGTAAGGGACTCGGAACCCTTAATATGATCCTAGGGATGAGAGGCGAAGAGCAGCCCCCACCTTCTAAACCTTCTCCGCAGGTTTTTCATTTCTACTGCACACGGGTTTAGTTTTCCTCCCTCCATTGCTCAAGCGCACAGTTTAGTCCCGGGTTCCAATGTTCACCCCAATTCAGTAAGTGTCATCTCGCCTTTCACTTTTCCTCAGGGCTCTGGAATGCATCCCCAATACCCTCGATATCGGCTTTAAAATATCGCTTTCGCAACCCAAGCCCAGGCCTCTTCTGCTTTCCGGCTACTGTCCGCCTGCAGTATCCACATTTCGGATTTCAAGAAGTCTCGGGGCGTAGAGTTCGCTAGCTCTGTTGAACCAGTTACCAAAGGGTCGGCGGAGATCTATGGTCGAGGGGGAGGCACGCCGTTTTAGTTGTCTCCTGGCTACAGCCGAGATCAAGGCCTGAAAGAAACTTCTCTCACGCCCAGTCTTGAGCATTCCTTTGGCTCAACCCCCGCCCCCCAACACACACACACACACACACACACACACACACACACACACACCGCGGTCCTCTCCCAGCAACCTGGATGGAAACGGGTTCTGACTACCTGCCTCCTGCTTAGCCCAGGGTCTTCAGGGGGCGAGTGGAAGCTTGGGAAAGCCCTGGTCCGCTCAAAAGTGAGTTCTTTTCTCAGCTGGTCGCCTCACTTTAGAGGATGGCATTGAGAACACTAACTCCAAGATAGAGCAACCAAGGAACAATTGCCCTTCTGCAGGCCTTGGAAAGCTCCCTTCTCCCCTTTTCCCTGGAGCTGGATTAAGGTAGAGGACAAGAAGTGGAATGCACTCTTCCCAGCATTGGCCTCAAACTAGGTCTCCAGCATTGTGGGGTGGGGTGGGGTGGAGAGCCATCCAAGGCTCTCAGAATGGTCAACCTCTGAGGGGCTGGGGTTTTAGCAGCTTGGGGCGTCAGCATCCTGAGTCTGCATGTAGTTTCCTTGAATGGCAAATGGACCAATGGTTTTCCTCAGGACCCACATGGAATCACATCTTGATATATGAGTCCTGCCCTGCTCCAGATTGGAAGCCAAGCCACAAGAACTGCAGGGTCAGGAAGGGAATACAGGTGAAAAGCTGAGAAAGTCTAGGCAGCAGAGTTTGCATATGGGAACTGATACAAGTTCACAAGAACTTTAGTGGGGTAATCCCAAGGACAGGGCATTCCATCCTAGCAAGGGACACTCCAGTCTCCTACTTTCTGGAACAAGGCTCAGACCAGCAGAAGTTGGGAGCCAGAAGCCAGGCAAAGGCCAACACTTTGATATGGAAGGAGTCAACTTAACCTGACAGTAGTGTATAGGACAACATAGAACCATGGGGAGTCCCCTCCCAGAGTACTCACTTGGTGAACAATAAAGAACAATCCCTCTTTAGAGGCAATCTGTTTTTCCAGCCAAGTTCTATAGCCTGTAAGCGGAAATAGATTTCAAGAAAGTCAAGAAAGGACTGGTCTGTAAGGAGCACAAGAGTGGTTGGATATGAGGAAAGAAGAGTGGAATAGAGGTTCCCCGTGCTTCCTGTGAAATAGAGGAGTCATTAAACTTGTTGAGCTTCTGCCTAGATGGTGCTTGCTAGAAGCTGCTGCCTAGCTGTCCACGTCCACCAACACAGTAGCAGAAGAAGCACACAATTAACCCCTGATCCTAATCTCCTATTAATCCTCAAATCAGAGAAAGAGAGAATCTCTGAAAACAATGGAAGAGAAAGAACAATCCCTCCACGGCCCTGGCGTTCCCCCATCCCCATGCCATATTCACTCTATGTGAAAATCTCCCTTGCTTCATAAACTCTGCCCATTAAAAAGCCCAGCCCTTGTTAGTAAGTGTTAAAGAGAGATTAATGCCTGAATTTAAGAGGTGGAGAAGGTAACAAAAAGGGAGAAGGCAGGCGAGGCTGTGGGCTGAGTGCCAGCATTGGGCTCTGAGCATTTCCACTTAGCGCTGAAGGCTGGCTGCACAGCAGTTTGATAAGGTTTATTGGGCCCAGATAAAGCAGCAGCAGCTCCCCCACCAAAACCGGCACCATTTATAGCCAGAGCTATGTCCTTGGGTCCTGAGAAGGCTGATGAGAATCCCCAGTTCAGAGATTTCATATGGCTGCACCTAAAACAAACAGAATGGAAAATAACAAGAAGGAATATTCATTCATATTCTCTCTCTCTCTCTCTCTCTCTCTCTCTCTCTCTCTCTCTCTCTCTCTCTCTCTCTCCCACCCCCAGTTTATTTTATTTCGAAGGGTATTTGAAGGCTATGGTAGGGGAAACTGGAACATCAGATCTTCTAAAAATAAGAGACTGATCTTAGAGGGAGGTCTGCTAGAGTCAGGGGAATAGATGAACTGACCCTTGGATGGAATTCCATTGCTAAATCTTCTTATTCCCTCATTTCCTACTTTACCTATATACCTCTGGCCATGCCTAGGAAAGCCATGGCTTTCAGAGTTCAGTTAGTGGAAGAAGAGATTGGTATATCAGGGACTAAGGATCATACAGGAAGGAGACAGTGGGAATAATAACTCACTCTGAGCATTACTTGGGAATCTTAACATATTATCTATGTTGTTTAATTCAGTCCTCATAACCCTATGGGTGCAGGTGCTATTACTTTCCCCTTTTGTGCAGACAAGAAAGCTGAGGCTCAGAGAGGTTAAGTGTGTCACCCAAGACTGTAGATCTATTAAACATCAGAGGTGATTCTATAAATCAGGCCATTCTGGCTGCACAGCTCAAGCTTTTACCTTGTAGATTATACAGCCACCAATGAGATACATCAAGAAAACAAAGCTTGTAATTCCCCAATCTCCTCTTACTCCATTGAGGCCAGTTCTATGCAGGAGCTCCCAAGCTGAGAACCAAAGGGTTCTGATTAGCCACTAGGTAAGCAGATCCTTCAGGATATCTACACTTTCCCCCTTTCTCAGAATCTCAGGCAGAAGTTGGAAGGAAATTTTGAATTAAAGTAAAACACCAACTAAATAAATACTCAGAAAGAAGGTAAGAGAGGTGTCCTGAGTATTCTGATTGAGTGTGAGTGGGAAGTTGCAACTCTCTTGTGCCAACTCATCATTTGAAAGATATTTTTTAAATTTAAAAGAAAATTTTCCTATTGTGATATATATATGCATACATACATATGTGTGTGTGTGTGTGTGTGTGGTGTGTGTGTGTATATATATATATATATATATATATATATATATATATATATATACTCTTTTAGGGAGAAGCTACTTTGCATTTCTCTAAAACCTTGTGGTGAGTGGGGAATGAAGCACAGCCAGGGAAGGGTGTAAGCAGTGAAACCCTGAGAGGAAAATAGTGGTCCCCTCTGTCACTGAGATCTTCAGGTGCCACTGGGATTGTCCCCTTTATTCCCAGATCTTTACCCCAGGGGACTCTTAGGGAAAGATAAAGCAAGCCTGTGGTATCCTTTTCTAGAGGCTAAGCTTCTTACAATTCTTCAGAGCACCATCGTGGACATCCACTATGTAGATACCAAGTGATATCAAAAATTAGGCAGTGTAGGGCTGGGATTGTTGCTCAGTGGTAGAGCGCTTGCCTAGCATGAATGAGGCTCTGGGTTCGATCCTCAGCACCACATAAAGATAAATAAATAAAATACAGGTATCATGCCCAATTATAACTAAAATAAAACATAAAAAATAAGCAGTGTAGAGTTTGTGTTGATACTTTTCTTTAGTTTTTGAGTTTGTCTTTTTAAAAATGTGATTCTTTCACATCTCTTTATTAAATGCCTCCTCCAAAAAGCAGAGGGAAAAACAATCAGGTGATATACATGTTCTGGTTAGTTAAATGTGTAGAAAACTAAACCAGAAGATGACTTCTTAGATGAGTAATTTCCATCATCACTCTTTCTTCCCATGGAGACCTGGTCAGTGGTGTCCACAAGGGATTCCCTTCCACATACCAAGTATGCCCTTCCTCTCATCTGCAAGGCAGAAAGTGACTTTTCAAAGAGGGACAAAAGAGGGATTACTTTTTTTTTAACCCTGGAGGTCTTGGGTCACTGTGACCCCAAGATCTTTGTGACTGGGAATGAGAAAGCTCTTTCTTCTCTCTTTCTCTCTCCCCAGCATATTGCAAATGGTGTTGGGACCTAATGCTGTCAACTCAAATAGCAAATCTGAGTTGTTATTAGTGCAAAGATGCCCTGAGGGGGTAGGCAGTGTAGATGAGATCTGCAACCAATGTTATGGGAAAGTGTGTTTATAATTATAATGGGATTTAATGTACACTGGGACCAGATGATGGCAGCCATTTAAAAAAGAGATGCTTAATAAGAGAGGTCCCTTAATGACAGGCAGGAGGGCTCAGGTTATTATAGAAAAGCACAGTGTTTCATTTGGTGTCACAAACCATGTGCCAGGTTTTACGGGGTTCCTAACAAAGCTTTGGGGCAAGACATGGCATCCGCCGCTTCAAGCCATTGGGCACATTGTTTTATTGTTGTTTTAGAGAGAGGCATATGCAGTCAGAGAAGGCATTTTCTCCCTTTCAGATACATGTGCCCACACAGGCCCTGGGCCAATACTGAGTATTTGGGGGTGTTTCTGGAAATCTGCTTTGTTCTGAAAAACATCTCAATTTCAAAACTAAAATTTTGTAGCTATCGAGGGGTGCATTTTCCATATAGTGTGCATGAAATGAAGCGGCATGACTCCCATTATAGGCAATGGGAAT